ACCGACATCTGGTGAAAATTTCATGTCATTAGCACCTCTAGTAATATATTTACTGAGAAAAATGTTGACGTGTTCAATACTTATTTTACCCGCTGTATTTGGGGAACGTTGATGTAAAGTGACTGTTCACCGCATGCACAGGCTATATGTGGCCCGTGAGCCACCAGTTGAATAGTCCTGTTTTAGTCTCTGTTGAGTAGTAAGAACATCATAAAAATGACACCAACAAAGTCACTTATTTTAGTCACACAAAGAGTTTCAACAGTTATGTTAAAAAGTAATCTTTTCCTCAAATTCACAGTTCATCCATTTTTTTGTTTCACTATCACATCTCATCATGTTGTTTTGTTGTAATTTTCACTTACAGTCAGTGGGGTCTTCTGCTAAATCTACTCTTTTAGGCAATTTCATGCTTCAGATGGAAAACTAATGGATTGTTCTGCATATTTTCCCTATATAAAATAAAATAAAATCCCTATCAGAGATAAATTTCACAGTTCCTGTGTCAGCTTAGTGCCTCATCTGCTCTGGCTTTGATTAAACTGCAAGGTGTTTGGAGACAAAAACTAAATTTTATTTATTTATTTATTTATTTTTTAACATTTGATGGTGAGAAACGTACTGAATCTAGAAGAAAAAGCCTGCAGGGTGAGGTAACCGGCGCGGTCTGTATCCAAGGAGTCAAACACATCCTCCAGCTCTCCAGCAGACAGAGGCAGCTCTCTGTGGAGCCTCTGTCAGAACAACACAAACAGAYGAGACGTTACGATGCAAAAACAAAAACAAAAATAAAAAAGATTTTAAATAAGCTACTTAAACAATTTCTCATCTATAATTTCTGCCTCTCTCTTAGTATTCTAAAATAGCTCGCGCTCATTAGTGGCTGCTTCATCCGTCACTCTGTAGCAGTTTTCTCACACAACAGTAATAAAAGCATGAAGCTCAGAAGATTTCAGGYCCAATTAGCTGCCAACGCAGCTCAGACACACTTAACATGTTAAAGTGGCTTCCACCTATTGTTCCTGCCTGCAAAATAATAATATATGTAAGTTGCATTATATTCAGGAGCGTTTTCATCTGAGCTCGTCAAGCACTTGTTAGGTTATTCAGGTGTACTGAGAGGGCAAGGCGCTTTGTTTAATACAATCAAATGATGGAGGGGGAAAAAATCCAGCATAGAGCAGGAACAATGACACTAAGTGTTTCCTGCTTGTTATTAACTATTATTAATGTCTAAAAGCCTGGAGGTMTAACCTATTGTTCTTTTTAGCAGAGTGTTAATGTATTCACTGTTGCAAAAAGGTTTCAAACAGTTTTATGACAGTTTCACCAAAAGCCTTGTCATTTTTGGATTGTGGATAAATATTAATCCTAATTTTCATCCCTGATAAAAAAGAAATAGACATCTCTAACCCTCATATCAGTGCAGTTGATGAAGCCTTTCCCCTCCACGTCGCAGGTCTGAAAGAACTCCTTGGTCTTGTCCAGCAGGGCGACGTGGCCCCAGTCTAAACCTCTCCTCTCTGGGGTCGGTGCAAAACCGTTCGTCCTGCCCTCCTCTTCCTCCATGCCTGGCACTCTTAAAAAATAAAATAAAAAAACTCCACTTGAGCTAACTCTGCTCTGTGTGCAAGAAGTAGTACTTCAGRATTAAAAGTCCTCTTCACTCGCTCTCAGTCCAACCCCTTTGGGTCCTTTAGAGTCGCTGTGACGGTGGAGCTAAAACAGCAGCACCAGAGGATGAGATTAGTGATACCTTGCAGGCTGATAAGAACTGGCTGGAGGTTTCAATCTGAATAGAAAAAAAAACACACAAAAACTAAAAGTCAGGCCTAGTATTTCCTAATGGAAAGGATTGAAAATTAACAAATATATAAACAGTGATGCAGCAAAAACAAACTTCTTACAACCCTAAGTTAGCATGTGTACAAGGCTGATTGCTAATTTTAAATGTACTGAGGTAAAGTGCAGAACTGATGGTCAAATCCAAATGTGAGATTCTTGAAAAAAAATTCCTAAAAGCAGTCAGAGCATACAGCCGGTTAGTGCACAGTTCAAAAGATTGCCTCTCTGTTGGTATGGGGGTGCATTAGTGTTTCTAGGACAGCTTCTGGAGAGGGACAATCAGTGCAGAAAGGCTCACCAACATGACATTTTTTTAAAACAACAAAGACCCAGGAAAAGAATCCTCCGCCAGACAAAATACATTACTTTTAAATACTTTGTATATTATAATACTTCACAGTAAACACGTCACTGTCCCAGCTTTTTGACAAGTTGCTACCATCAAATTTGGAATTACCTTGACTCCAAAAAGTTACACAATTTTTGTTTTAAACATTCAATAAGTTTATGTTTTATTGCATAAATAAAATGTGGGTTAGCAATATTTGTGATTGACTGCATTGTTTTTATCGATTTTTTAAAATTGAGGTAGTACACTACTTTCTTTGTCTAATAAGGCAACACACAGCAGTACGTAAAGGACTATCTGTGTTTTACTTCAAGGAGCACATGACAGCGTGTCCAAAAAACTTTTGGGCCAAATCTCTGAGAATTACGTGTACCAGCTCTACTCTCCAAAATCAACTCACGAGTGTTGTTGAAAGTGTTTTGTCCCATCTGTTACTTTTAAATACAATCTGTTTTGTCACAAAGTTGTACAGGAAAACTTACAAACTTTATTAAAAGTCTCAAGAATCTCTAAAAAACACAATAAGTACAACAGTTTGCATAGAACCAATCAGAATCAAACACAAATATAGGAAAAAGTCTCACCTTTTTTTCAAAACTTTGTGCAGAACTTGAAGCGTTCCTTTGCGCTCAGTATCGCAGCACTGTTTTGTTTCTGCTCACTAGGAAATCCTGCCTCACAGATGAACACTCGATAAGTCAGTCTGTGACCATGTGATGTCATGAGGAAGCAGCCTGAGGCTTAGCAGGCTGGGTTTACTCGCAGCTCACACAGAAACATGGGGCTGCAGAGAAATCTCTCTTTGAGCTGGCTTCATGTGGACAGCATGAAGCTGAAAGCCACAGTAAAGGAGTTTTGTTAGACAGTAGAAGTGGATAATGCATAATTAAAAGTACTTCAGGAAAATTACTGCAAAAATTTTGTGTGTATTTACTAAAAAAAAGAATAAAAATAAAAAATCCGGGTTAAATTAGACTACTGTACAGGAAATAACATATTTATTCAAATTTACAGCAAATAGCTTCATATCCAACAGCGCCATCTTGTGGTTTGAAACAGAATTTGAACATGAATAATTCCTCAAACAGAAGATTAAAAAATTAATCCGAGCTGAATGTTCCTCAGTCAGAGTTATTTATGAGTTCCTTGGATCTTCTGAAGTAAATACTCCATTTGCAGGTTCAGGTTTGGTTGTCCCTTCTTAGTCTTTTTGCTCAGCATCTGAAACGTCTCCATCTTTTTCTGTTTGTACTTCTGCATGGCTTCTTCTCTCTGCTGCTTGTTCTTCAGGTATTCCTGCAGTTAAAATGTAAACAATCAGATTCTAATATATAAAACAAAATCAGTGATCATATGTAGCCGCTAACAAGCAGGAGCAACACTTCACCTCTTTCTTTTGTCTCCGCTTTTCTCGGATTCTTTCGAATTCCTCCTTGGTCTTCTGATGCGAGGTCTTCTTCTGCATTTTCTTTTTCATGCGGTTGCTTATTGTAAAACTGAAAAAAAAAAATAATTGACTAAATGAAAGCTTCATTTAAACTAATCAAAAACACACAGTGAAAATTCACACCAGGCTACCTTTCTCTGTCAGAGGCTGTCGTTGGTTTTGAGTTTCCAGAGTCTGTCAGCTCCGATCCTCCAGCCAAGTCTGTTTTCTCATCGACAGCAGCCGCGTCGTCATCATCTTCTTCATCCATTTCCTCCATCTTCCCCTTCATCCTCAGCTTACTTCTGTTCACTCTGTTYGCCCGAGCTTCATTCCTCATTTTCTCAGCCTCTGCCTGGTACAGATGTTTGAGGTGTTCTGGATACTCGTCCTTGTAAACCACTTTGGGCTCAGGGTTCTTCTTTTGCTCCTTCCGCAGCAGTTTGTTGTATTCATRTTTGACTTTCTGTTTTTTCTTGAAAGCAAACCCTTGACCTGAGGACACAAGTGAAACTTTTGTTTCCTCTTATATATAT